AATTATCAATAAATAAAATAATATTATACTATAATTTAAATTATTTGTCATAAAATTAAAATATAATTTATATATTACTATCAAAAAATATAATTTATATATTAAAAATATTAATTTATTTAAAATTTAAATATAATTTATATATTTAAAATAATATTTATTCGTATATATAACTTATCACAAAATTTTAGTTATATATAATAAATATTAATCTCTACATCACACAAGAAATACTAATATAATGAATGTCCGTTCTAAGAAAAATGTGTATGAATTTCACATTTCTTTTATATATATTACTTAGTTGATTAGAATTCCTGAAACTTCCTCTTCTCATCATCTTAATTTCTTGAACTTTTCGATAATTTATTATTATTATTATTGATATATTATGAATTGCATAACTATCCGAAAATGTGATTGTACCATACCAATAGAAAATAAAATATAAGTTGGTTAGATAGAATGGCCAGAGGCGGAGTCAGAAATTTTTCTTCAGGAGGTTAAGATTTTTTATTTTAACGTTTATGTGTAAAATACTCTAATATCATAAATAATTTATTATTATTTATATATTTTTTTAAACATTTTTTTATCACATCATATATCAATTACATTTATTTCTCTTTTTATTTTTTAAAATATAAATTAACATGATAATTTTTATTTCAATCATAATACTTTTTTAATACAAATTTTAGGAGACCAATTTTTTTAAAGTAATTTTAATTAAGAGTTAATCACCTATACACTGCTAGTATAAAGTTTTTTATACTGATAATCAATCAGAGTCGTTAATAAATTTTTTTTTTATCTTAATTTAATTAAATAAACAGATGAAAAAGTATTATTAACAGCTCTGATTAATTACTAATATAAATTTTTTTTATATTAATAGTATATAGATGATTAATTCTTTAATTAATGTTAAGAAAATAAAGGATAAGACGCGTCCACGTCGTTCCCCTCCCTAGGCCTCCACCCCTGAAAATGACTAATATTATAATTAAGTGTTGAATTGTATACTACTATACTTTAAATTGTTTTCTTGGATTTTAATGTTTAATAATAGGAATCGAAATATAAGTTAAAACTATTCAATTTGGAAAACAATATGTTGCTAATTTGAATAAAGTGTTTTTACATAGTTTTTGGAAAATTATTGGTCTCGTTAAATAAAAATCTTATCCATTTAAGATATTTGTCCGAAGTTATCATTTAGATAATCAACATCATGATTGATTCTTGAAAAATAATTTTGGTCATAAACAGTAATGTAATAAATAAAGATAAAAATATTATGTAAACTACTTTCATTCTTACATGTTAATCAATTGGAATAATATTGTTTGTTAAACAAGTGATTTTAAGTTTAAATGCATTTAAATATTTAAACCTAATTTTATCTGAGAATTTAGAGTAACTAATTTTAGTACGTGGACTTGTTTCTCAACTATTCATTATTTCAATTACAAAACTCAAATTTAAAACTTTACTTAAGAAAACTACTTCTCATATTAATAACTTAAAATTTATTGTAATTTTTTTTTTTTGAGTTTGTTCTTGGAGTATCCATCGTCGATAGCAATGACTAATCTTCTCGCTACATTGGAAGTACCTCAAAGAATTTACATTAAAAGTACCTCAAAGAGTTAGATAACTGGTTCCAAGATTTAACGTGACTGCATACACAAAATAGGATTCGAACTCCTGATTTTGCTTAAGCGTGGATCAACCCCTACCGCAGAACCACACGCTTGATGTTAAATTTTTTTTGAACAAATTTTGTTTTCTGCTTAGGAAAAATGTAGATTATACAGAAAATAAATAAATTGTACGTTAGTAACTACCACCGCCATTGCATTTATAAATCACAATCACCTCATCGAAACAAGAAAATTTATGACATGATGTATACGTCAAATACTACCTCCTCTTGAGCAAACACACCACCTGTATATTTATACGATCAAATTTATATGATCAACCCATATCATAACACAACCATACCTTTCACATTAGGAATCAAGGGATCCAATTTCCAGAATATAATTGTCAAATATCTTCTTTTCTCCTTGTTACTCAAAATAAAAAAAAATAACTTCATATATATATATATATATATAGGACTCTCGAACCACAAACCAAAAGAACATTAGTTGAGCTTTGAATCCAAACATACTTAAAATGAACAACTTCATTTGATCAACCATGTGTACATT